ATGTAATATTCTCAAGCTGAGAAAACAGTCATTCTCACAATGTATCTCTGATACATGACCATATGCATGGGAGTGAATTGACATTCTTGTAAGAGTGTGTTGATTAGCCAGCTCCATTAAATTAATTAATCTATATTACACTCTATAGATTTTAACTTTTCTTTTTATTGGAAATATTTTGTTAACCATCCAACTTGTTGTGTTAACTTAATGACTATGCATCAAACATTTAACCAACCATTCCGTATATGTAACAGTTTACACATGGTTTTTCTGCACTCCTTTTCCTCCTTTTAAAGTTTTCCTTTATTTTTCATTTCTGTTTCATGCATGATGACCCAAGCAAATGCTTGACATTGGCATATTTAAACAGTGATCTGAAATGTTTTGGTCCACTAACTTAAATGACTACATCAACAGTGAAAGTGGATCAACACTTCATTCTTATAGTACATTATTCAACTATAAAAATAACATCTGGAGTACATTATGTATTAGAAACACATTTTGCCTAATGTTACAGTTGAAAAATGCTTGTTTTCTGTTTTTGCCCCTGAAATAAAATGACTAAGAATTTTCTCATTAATACAATATTGATTTCTGTCATTTTTGGAAAGTGTTCTTGATTCCCTTATACACAACCAGGTAAACTAAAAGCTCTTGATTACATGCATGATTACATGCCTAACAGCATAATAGAAAGAAGGACTACCTTCTTTCTATTACTTTCTTTAAACATGATCCTAGATAGTTGTATACAAGAAACCATGGTCAAAACTGTGGTTTTTAGAACACTATGATTTTGTGTAGTGATTTTGACATAAACACCACTATTTTGTTATGACTGCATTAACTAAGGTGGCACCACAATACAACATAGGCCTTATTCTTTGTTTATTTTGCTTAAATCTATAAAGATTGTGGTTAGTGGATGTTTTGGTTTAGTTCTAAAATATGCCTTAGGTGTTCTCATAGGCATCAATGGAAAAAAGCAAAGACAATAGAAAGCCTAAATTAAGTCTTAAACATGCTTGTGCAGTCCCAGAGTAATTTATTGTACTTTCCATCAGTCAGATAATTATCACCTTGCCTTTCTCCCTTGCAATCACCTTTTCAACCAGTTGCAACTGTTTTGGAGGGATTATACCTACAGTATAGTAATCTCAGTTGATATTATTGTGCATAATAATGCAAACATTTTAATACCTTGTGACTCCTTTATCATCTGTCTTTACAAAGCACCTTTTAGCTAATTCAAATAATATATTAATAATTCCCTAGAAAACATGTGCAATGATTCTGAATGAGCATCTTTTTATCTTTGGTGTCTTATACTGTACTGCATTGGTCATGGAGATAGTTGACCCCTCTTTTACATGAAGCCTGTGCTTTAATAAAAATGAATGCAACAAATTAATAAAAATGAATATCTCAGCATTTGGTCCAAAGTCAACTCTAGAGGTTTTCAATTAATAAAAGAAAAAAAAACATCAGTGATACTGTATGTAAAAGTAAATAAAAAGTAGAGATAGCACAAGGAGACTGTGAAGTTCATTTAGTTCTTTAGTGTATTTGTTTTTCTCACTGGCCAAAAACTGCCGCACAAAAACTACAAGTGACTACAAAAACAAAAATATTTCATATGTACAGTATATAATCAAATAATGTTCTTGTTATGATACAAACCAGACTTAATTACTGACAAGATTAATTTATCGAAATTGTATAAAGATTGAAATACAAATCAGCAAAGATATACAAGAATGAACTTTCTTTTATCCTGCTTAAATCCGTGCTGAATTCAGATTTATTTTTTTAAGACTCTATCTTATCTTTTTGAAATGAATAATGATATTAACTTATATACTCCCTCTCAAGAAAAACTGTACAAACATTACAGAAAGAGCAGATAAGATCACGGCTAAGGATCTGAATTCTACAAAAGGTATAAAAGACTACAGGTCACGGTGCACTGTGTTCAGAAGGAGAACAGAGTGCCGACATGATGAAGCATCTCATTCTTGGTCTGGTGTGTCTGGCTCTTACAGAGGGACTCATCAGGTGAGGAAACTGAAAACAAGTTTTGTTAATTACTTTTATACCTACCAGCTTATGCTAATGATCACAGAATTAGATACAATAGGTCAATTTCATAACATGAATTTCTGCATGGCTTCAGACTGCCTCTGAAACAGTTCAGGATGGAAAAAAATAGTTATGCTTCCACAAATAACAATGAGGATTGTAGTGTCATTTTAAAATGTTTTGCACTATTCTCCTGAGACGCATTTAATGCAATAAGTCCACTCCTGTTTTCTTTTAGAAGTTAATAACATCATTATGTCAGTCAATATATGACTAATCATATGATACATTACAGAAAATACAGGCAATAGTCAATACTGATAAGAAAAATGTTTTTTTAATTTTGTTTAATTTGAGGTGAATCATTAGGACAAGTATGGATTTATTAGTTACCATAAATAGCACTGTACTCCTGAGTGGCTGTAATCCTAAACAATTTCATATTTAGTAGAGTAGAACTATTTGTAATGTACTGTACATACTGTGCCATGAAACCAGGGGAAAGCATTTAAAACTGTTGAGTATTGTACACATTGTATTACTTACCTCATCTACACAGAATAGAGATTATCAAAAAGGTGAACCACTTACTCCTTACTTACAATCAAGAATATAATTTAAATAATTGCATTAAAATTAGAAGTAATGTTAAAATTATACAACACATTTATTAGACCTCACTAGGAATAATGTGTTCAGTCTTAGTCACCATAATACAAGAGAGACAATGCTGCTCTAGTGCAGGGATCCTTGAACTGTGTCCGTTCCAGTCTTCTTCAGTTCTACCACAATTCTTCAGCTGAAGCAGCATTCAGTGTTTTAATTTATACAGTAATTAACAGACTCTAAATAACAACTGAGGTGTTGATTACACTAAAGTACGGTATTGGAGTGGATTTAAAGGGTAACCATCAGCAAACAGATTAATTTTGTATCTGAAGAAAATATTATACTCCTAGAGATTTAAAAAAAACTAAATCCTAAAGGACACTGAGACAGTTTAACCAAGGAAGTGTTATAAAATTAGCAACTATAAAAGGCCCTAAGGAAAAAAATGGAAATAATGCTCAGTAAAGGTCAGGACAAAAACAAGAAACACATCTTTACTCAACGGATTGTCTGAAATCAATTCCTAAGCCATATTGTTGAAGCTGACTCTGTAACATTAAAAATATGGCTTTCTAGAATGTTTGGATCATTAAGCTGCATCCATACTGTGATTACAAGATTGTGTCTCATTTCATTTGTAACCTTGGTTATGTTGTGCTGTACTCTGTATTAAAGTTGCTAGTATTACTATAGCAGCTGTTCTTAAAAGCAGAATGTATTAATGGTTTTACTGAACAGAGGTTCAGACAATTGTCAGATTCTAATTTTGCACTTTTGCTGTGCATTGAAAGCACCAAGGTTCAACATGGCAATATGTGCATCTTTTCTAGTACATCTCACTTCATCCCAGAAATGTACAGTGTGAAATGTAAGTTTCATGCTTTACATTTCTGGCACCTTATCTTTATCACTTTAATCGCCTACAAACCCAGGACAAGAGTCCTCCTAGACTCTTCAACCTTAACCCTTCACTGAAAAATAGCTGCTCTACTACCAACATACTCTACCATCTGCATATTTCTTCAATGTTTCTGATGTCATCAAGCCTTCCAGAAATTCTGAGTAACTGCTGCAAATTTGTCTGCCTTTTTCACTTTGTTCTGTTCCTAAACCTGCCTGCGCCACTCTTCTCTCTTCTCCCCATTCTTTCCATTTGGAGTCGAGTGTTTAACTCACTGCACCTATGGCCCCAACCTATATCTGTTTTTTCATCTCTTCCATCTCTCCAATCCTTTTTGCTGTCCTTAAAGGAACCCCCGGTTGTTGACTCCCACTCCACCCCTCGGGTGCAAGCACATAGTGTCAGTCTGTACTGGATCTGGCCTTCCTCATTCACAGATCATACTGTCCCAGGGATTTAGGCCTTGGCTTTTACATTGATGATTGCCCCATTTACCCACTACAGCTGGTGTCCAAATGATACAGCTTCAACCCTTGATTCTTCACCCTCCTAAAGCTTCCAGCAGCCTATGTGGCTAATAATTCTTGTTTTAGAGGTTCATCCTGGAATATAATCTCATTCAATCCACCTAGATAACTTCAGTATTTGGTACTGAATGTCTCTTCCTGTTTCCACATCAGGCTACTCTTCCTGGTTACCACAGGGTAGTTAATACTTATACAGAGTAGTGTAGTACTACAGAATAGCTAGTACTACTACTCTTGTTAGTTGCTAATACAGAGTTCTAATCTAAAACTAGCCCTGGTAATGCTACTAGTACTAGTACTAGTACTAGTACTAGTACTAGTACTAGTAATGCTAGTACTGCCACCTGTTTGCAAACTCGCTGTTAATTCCATCACCTTCATCATACGTGTGCTTCTAATGGACTGCACATCTGAACCTAATCAATCAAACAAACTCAAGCCTGCATCAAATGTGCTTGTCATTTTCAATGCTTTATGTGCATTCTACTCCATTCTGGCAAAACTGCAATCAAATCAGCTTGCTCTTAATCCAGTGTTCAAAATCTATGTTTGGGGGATTCTTTTGGGGAATGTGACAGCTCTGATCTCCTGTCAAGCACTGTTACTTCCTCAGAAAGGCAACATAAAGCTCTAGTATTAAGAATAATATCACTTTATATTTGTTGATTTGTGTTACTGTTATTATTAGAATATGACTGAAACCATATTGTCAGCTTTATTTTTGTGGCTCTAACTATATTCTACGTACATAAAAAATGTAAGTTCAGTATTATGATTAGCATGACATACAGTTTAGTTTATTTTTCAAACCATTATTTTAATTTGCTGTTTTCCCCCTTGGATCTGCACTCCATTTCTGGACTTGCTTTTATCACTAGAATCCCCCTGTTGAACATGAAGTTTATCTACGAAGAACTGAAAGAGAGAGGAGAACTGGAGGAATTTTTAAAGAATGAACAGTACAGTGCACCTGGTACATACAATGAACAACTCATAAATTATCACAATGTAAGTCAGAGCAAACAAACTTAATTAATGTTTTAGGTTTAAACTGATTATTACTTTGACATTGCAGTCAAGCCCTACAGAAACATATTAAATACAATTAACATATACTGTGTATGAATTCATAAGCTGTATGTCATGTGACAAAATTTCTTGAGAACACAGTTTAAATAGTTGCAGGGAAAAAAACATGTACAGCACAATGGCATAACTAAAGGACAACAAGCTTATTCTGGAGCATTAAAGCAAACAAGTAACCACAAAGATTCAGAAAGTAATTTCTAAATTCAAAAATTGATAAATTAAAGCATTACTTTTAAAGTGCTTGTGTTACAAATGTTTGGAAGTACCCTTTTCAGAAACCACCTTGCCAATCCTCTGACATCCACATAATGAAGAATTAAATACTTCTTTGTATTACAAAGACAGCTATTTCCTCCTACACAAGTATTAATACAGTCAACTGTTACATGCAAATCTTTATATTCAGGCCATCCTGAATTTGTGGCATGAGTCATACTTACAGTAAAATTGCACATTCATTTTTTAGGAATATTCTGTTTATAAAAGCAATTAAATTAATGCTGGGCAAGATAAATCAGCAGAACTGTAGATCTGTTCAAAAGTATGAAATCAAGATAAATAATTTATACAGTTTATATTTTTGATGTGTAACGTGACTTTCAGTCAGAGTGTGCACCATCTTGTTATAGTTACAAATAATAGCTCTCACTTTTACAGATGGCATATTTTGGCAAAATTAATGTAGGAACCCCTCCACAAACTTTTTATGTCCATTTTGATACCGGATCTTCTACTCTCTGGATCAACTCAGTCTACTGCAAGGGTGAAGCCTGCAGTAAGTACTTAGTACTTAGTAGATTATGTAAGACAAAATACCCTTAAATGAAGCTGTTCTATGCTCATAGAGATATTTTTAAAGATTAAGAGGAACGACAGATAAATGACATACAGATAGAAATCTGTTTAATCTTTCAATAATCACACCTTTGTAGCAATAGTTTTAATTACTTTTGAAATTCTTTTTTTTTCTGTCGACAACACAGTATCAGACTCTGAAGAAAAAGACCAATGAAGTGCCAATGAGGTTTTGCTTATGAATGAGTCATATTCCTTATTTAATTAAGTCGGTATTCTGCCCTGGACAGGATGCTACTCCATTGCCAGGCACACACAGATACAGGGACAAGTTAAACAACCAATTAACTTAGCTAGAATATGTTTTGGAAAGAGAGAAGAATCCACAGCACACAGTGAAAACCCACGTGATCAAACCGAATCAAACTCAGGGCACAAGAGCTGTGAAGCAGAAGTGCTAATCGCCATGTCCATGTCACAGTGGCACCCTTATAATATAGCGACAAATTGTCTTATACAGTAAGTGTGTAAAGAAGATGAGCGGTAATTCTATTTTTTCCTTCTCAGTTAATATCATAGGTTTCCTTCCATTATTCCATCTTATTGGTTAATGTATCAATTTTAGAATTCTTCTTTGTTCTCTCATAGCACATCATCCACTGTTCAACCCACAGAAGTCTTCCACCTATCATAGCAATGAGCAGCCCTTCTCTATCCATTATGGAACAGGAAGCCTCACAGGTGTTATTGGCTATGATACAGTCACTGTAAGTAAATGGGTCTTACTCTATGGGAAGTGTGAAGTGCAACGTTTCACAAGTATTAACTAGATTCTCCTCAAAGAATGAATAATCACTATAATAAAGATAACAACAATATTTTTTCATAAATGTACCTTAAAGAAATGTATAAAAAAATCAGATAAGTCACAATGCTCTGAAAGTGTTACAATCATAGCATATCTAAAACTGCAATACATAAGTGTTAGTGTAAGAAAAAGCCAATATAAATACATTTGAGACATGACTTAAAAAACTGAACCTTTAATGATCTGTGGAGGGTTTTTTGCTGTTTAATAGGGAATTTCAGTCTTAATGGAGTATCTCAGAGTGCCCCATTAAAACACTTGTTTTTGGCAATGATAAAATTCCACTGTCTTGAAGTAGCATGGACCAGACCATTCAAAGACATATTCTAGTCTTTCTATTCTAGATATATAAAATGTTACTTATATAGTACTTATCTTCAAACTACAAGTTAATTTCTATTTTGAGAAAAAAAAAAACAGGTTCATTTGAAATGAATGTACCAAGTAAATGCATGTAATTCAGGAATGTTAAATGACAAATCATTAACAGCAAAGGATTTCCCATATTTATGATTAACACTTTTTGCTGTAAACTGAGGCAATTATACATCTTTACCTCTAAAGTAAATATAGTGAGCATTTGATAATATGAATATGAGGCCAACTACTGTAAGTGAACTTTTTTAACACTGGTGTTCCCACTACAATTTGGAGTGAGCAATTTGGTGGCAGTGAAGTTTTCAGAAATTCATGAAACAGAGAGATGAAAGGTATAAACTTATGGTCATTATGACATCTATCTTCTAGTCAAGACATAAAAATAACCTCAGTCAACAGAAACATTGCTAATTGTTCACATTTTTCATCATCTATATAAGTTGAATATCAGAAAACCACGGATTAATAAATTATTGAATTACTGTACATTGCCCCCTTACAATCATTAGCAGAAAAGTGAAAAGGTTTTTTGTGTGTCTCCACAGCTTGGGGATCTCACTGTCACAAACCAGAAGATAGGTCTGAGTATCACAGAACCAGGAAACCACTTTGCAAGACCCCTACATGATGGAATCATGGGGCTAGCGTTTAAACAAAACGAAGGAACTATTGTGGACACCATGATAAAAGAGAACTTGCTTGAGGAGCCTGTCTTTGCTTTCTACCTCAGCAAGTGAGATTCCATGTATTCAACATAAAGTGTATATTCTACCTGAATGCTAAATATTCAAAGTGCGACGAATATATTTCTGTAAAATGATGCAAAGCAAAAAAGTTTTATTTTGTATTATATGTACAACAGAAGTAATTAGCTGCATTTATACTATCCTTTGGGCTTGAATTAGAATTATTTGAATTATCTCTTTTGAATGATTACAGTATGTAATTTTATCTCAAGGAGCTCAGAACGGGGCAGCGAAGTTGTTTTTGGTGGAACAGACCCAAGTCACTACACTGGGGAAATTCACTGGGTTCCTGTTGCCCATGAAAGCCACTGGCAGCTGGTTTTTGAAGGGTATGTTGTCCAGGTTTTGGCAATCAGTTGAAAATCTCTTCAGTGACTATAAGTATTGCTTCAACAAGTAACTCATATTTGTAACACAATTATTAATTACTTCCAAAACATTTTCTTTACTCTTAACCCAGGGCTCAGCAGAAAAGTCTGGCCATAGTGGTAAGCACTAACGCCAAAGCCATTACTTTATTAAGAATTAATAGATTTGTTGCACACAACATAGTTACAATCATACAAAGTGGTAGCTGATGCCAGCTCTTAAAAAGTGAAATTATAAATCCACAGTTTGGTAAAGAATTTATGGAGTCTTTTTTCCACATCTCCATGAATCAAAAGCTAGTGCTTTTTCTTTTCCTTCATGTTACTTATATTAAAGCCACATGTGGACACACATCCCAGACATTATAAAGCATTTTTATGAAAGGTGTTTTCTCTTCTAGATTTTAATTTCTATAAATCCCACACTGAATTATCAACTTGTTATACAATATTCTAATCCAAACATGTGTCTCTATCCATAATGACTATTTTAATGCATGTCTTATTATGTATATTACAATTATCATTTCAAGAGCTGAGGTGCATTTGAGGTTTAAGAGTTATTATTATGACGTCTACTTTCAATAGTTTCCCACACATTGTTAACTAAAGCTTACTGTAAATTAGTAAATAGCCAATTAGCTCTTGAAATTTCTAGTGGTTCCACCACTATAAAATTATTCAAGTTTATTTAATTTCCTAAAATGAAAACCTACAAAACAAAATTGTCAAAATACCTTGGGAAAACACAAAATTGTGGATGAGACAGCAGAACAAAAACAGCAGCCATGAATACGGCAATGTCACAGAGATTCCTCTGGATTTTTCACTTTAATCTCATTTAAAATTATTGCTCTTTTCCATTAATATTAGACATACATTATATTATACAAATGTTGAATGCAAAACATATTTCTTCTAGAAAGATGATTTTGTGAGGTTACCAATACTTAGTCGCTGTTCCTTTAGAAACCTTTCACAAAATATGTTACCGATGTGTACTTGCTGATTTGCTTCTTTTTAACAAATTTTCTCAAAGGTTTGAAATAGACCACCACAGCACAGGCTGGTGCCAGAGTGGTTGCTCTGCGATTGTAGACACTGGCACCTCTCTTCTTGCATGCCCCCCTCAATATGTAGATGAACTCCATCAGGCTCTTGGAGCTCAACAAGATCAGAACGGAAAGGTGAGTACCTCAAAGCCCTGTCTGTCATATTAACACTAATTTGTAGAGGACACATTTAACTCAGTTGCTCTCTATTTTCAGTATGTCTTTGACTGCGACAGCATAGACTCCTTGCCTCCTCTCACGTTCATCATGAATGGAGCTCACCTTCATCTTGAGCCCTCTGCTTATGTGTTAGTGGTAAGTATTCACTGCTGTCGTAGGCATCTGTAATGCGTTGCTCTCTGAGGGAAGCAATGAATATAAATCATCGCAGTCAAATTAACTATAATCTTCTTGCTTGTCACCAGTTTCTATATTGTTCTATATTCTATGTTGTGGTTATAATACAAATAACCTAAGTTCTATCAGCTGGCTATATTTTCTTTTTAGTTTGTAAAAAAGGAGAAAGGTTGTAAAAAATAGGAGAAAGGCGAAGTAATATGTTTTAATAGAAGCAAACACAGTTTTGCTGCAGAAGGAAGTGAACTTTATGGATACATCCTGTGACTATGTTTCAGTACCAGGACGACTATGGAAACTCTTACTGCACCAGTGGGATTGAAGGTTCCCGAGAGGAGTATCGGGATGGTTTGCCATACTGGGTTCTGGGAGATGTGTTCCTGAGGCAATTTTATTCTGTTTTTGACCAAGGGAATGGCAGAGTTGGGTTTGCTACACTTGCTTAAAGATCTCTTATCCACGTCACTTAACAAACCTCTACAAATTGATACATCTTATTAAGTGAAACCAGCGACAGTCTTCTAGTCATCCTAGAAGAACATATTTTAAGAGGGGCACTCTGAATTGTAACCATTAAAAATTGTGCATTTTTAAATGTACAACCATAAACCTGATTAAAAGGAATAAAATGCAATCTATGTTTCGGGTTATATTTTGGCAATTCTTACTGATATGTTTAAAGATGTAAAATTTTTCGTGTGCTTGTTTTCTATCTGCTAGAAACTCCAGTTTCTCTTTATTTTCTTATACAGTTCCAGGGCATTGGGAGATACTCTGTAGTTACTCAGTACTGAGAAATACATTTTCAACATCTGAAACCATTAACTATAATTTTCATGCATCTCCATAGTTGACAACTTTACAATCAGTATATATTTCCTTGCTTATGGTTCTGGACTGCAGTGAAGATGAAAAACATTGACTAAAACCTTATTAAACTTCAAAAACATGTCACATTTTTTCAGCTCTCAAAAGCTGTAATGGATCACCTTAATAGGTATTTTCACTTTTCTGTGTTTTGTTATTTAGAACAGAGTTCAATTAGTAGGTTTTAGTTGACTGTCAGATTTTGCTATGCTTTGTGCCCCTTGGGTGCCTGCATGGAACTGATCCCACAGCCACTGTGTCTCCACTGAAGGAAACAGATCTTTGACCAGATCAAAGGTGAAAAAGAAGTTGACGTTGAGGCACATAGCAAAAAAATAAAAACTGGACAAGGGAATTGAAATGCTAATTAGCTTGGATAAGAAAGTGTGTTTTAACAGCATTTTGTGTTCGTAAATTAAATTCAAAGAAAAAAAAAATCAAAATAATCAAAATATCAATAAAGAGTCTTTGGAGGGATTTGAACCGAAACTTGTACAGAAAATTTCAGATACCTCATACAATTGGTCAAGTGATAATCTGATACAATGTAATTTCTATGTTTGTCTAAAGTACACAGAATGCCCTACTTTGTTTTGATAAACCTGTTTGTATTGCCATATTGATATTATTTTACTACAAGTTTGCTGAAATGCCCAGGACATTTATAAAATCTCTTAATAGCTCTTGGCTATTACAAGGACATATCACCCACCAACTGTGTTGAGAGTCTATGATACTGTCTTCCAACAACATAAATCTATGGGTCTAGCTGTTTATGTGAAAAAATAGAGGACCCACCTAGTAAAGTATAGAGTCTTCTGAACAATGTCTGCCGGTAATTCTAAATACAAAATAAACATTATCTAGACTGCCAATCTTTTACGCCACAGTCACTGACAGAGCATACTGTACAATGCAATAAAGTAACTGATATGACAAAACAACCTTATGTCACAATTTTTCTACAACCTTTTGACATTTAGTACTTTGCAAACATATTCACTTCAATGTACCATTCGGTTAAAAGACAGATCAAATAAAAACATTTGAAACTGAATGCTTCAATCAAAACTTGAATGCTGAAACTGAACACTTTAATGGTAAAGCTGTTAAAAGTAAGAAAACACTGCAAGGAAAATATTTTGATTAAAATATATTTCAAAATATATACATTATTTGCAATCCAATTAAATGGAATATAATAGGAAGAGGGAGAATTCTTTATGCATATTTTTTTTACAAATGAATACACATATAGTTGCACTATGAAATCTCCTTCATTATGAAGACATGTTTTGGGGGTTTACATTAAAAAAGCAAGCATAATATCAAACATCTTGTTTTGTATTTTGAACAGTCATTTGAGATCTGAAAGTCATTGTGGTAGTGTAAGTTAGGTAAACCAGTCTGAAAATGACTTGAGATGTGGAGGTGTGTGACAGTTTATTACTGAGCAGTCAATTAAAAACTGAACCCCTGCAAGAGGGGTCTGATGTCTTGCACTGGTCCAGAAAGTGAAAAGAACAGGTTGTGCAGCTTTATGGAAAAAAAGAAGAAAAAGAAAGAGATGCTGAGTGTAGAAATGCTTAGAGAAGATCGTGTGGCCATGATGACCAAAAATCTGGGAAAATTGGTCAAGTACTTTGTACACTATGTCTAGCTCATTTCCAGTAATTTATGTCTATACTTTGATTGCTGACATTCCAGTGCAAATATCTATTAGGTGATGTCTCTTGAAAAAGAATGTAGAAACATGGAAACCTATCCATTAAAGAAGACAGAGAAAAGACAAAACAGCAATAATTCAAATTATCTGCCCCAGCTTGTTGCAATCTTCAGAAAAGTTGAGCTGTCTTCCTGCATTTATTCACAGTAAATGCAGCATGTCAAAAGGGGATTTTATTACCTCCCTGAAGGAAACATTCTCAGAATAATGAAAACACGATCACACGACCTGAATACCAGCGCTTTGGTGTTCTCTGCTGTTCCCTTAATTGCGGTTCCCCTGGATGTCTCTTGCATTTATTTACAAAAAGGTAAAAATGGAAACAAAAAGAGAGAAACCATTTCAGTGCTATTTCTGTAAAATCCAAAGCAGACTATGCGTGAATGCTTCAGTCTGTCTAACTCTGTCATATGTTTTCTATAGTTACAAAGCAACGACAGGGTGTAATGGGCTAAATCAAAAGAAATTGAGAAAAAGCGTAAAGGCCATGCAGAAATAGTCAGGGTCACATCATTGTAGACCTTGTAGAAATCCATGGTTGCTAAGCACAAATGCTACTTTGGGATTCCCAGTAGCAAAAAAGAAGACAAGAAAAACGCTACAGAGTAAAAGCTCAAGAAAAAAAACAACACACAGCAGCACATTCAGCAAATTACAAAGAGAAATCTAAAGGACATTGAAAAAGTTTAGATTTCTAAAAAGGACACTGACATTTTCTTTATCCCTAGAAAATAATTGTTTATTTTTACCAAACAGAATGGTTAAACCATGCTCAGATCTGCTCATTAAAGGCCAATTAGCTGTGATGTTTCCATAGTATAGTTTGCAAACAAGGTTATACAGCTACAACCCAATTACAGCATGTATTATTTTACATTTACCTATCATGTGTTTCCCTCTAAGCTCTATTCATTACATTTATGAATTACAGCTTTTGCTTCCCTACAGTTTTTGTATTTTTTAATCCTAAAAAGATACAGAGGGAACTCTCTTCCACTTACAAACAATACTTTCCATAGGCAGTTGGGAAAAAAACAATTTCCCTAGGAACTAGCCTGTACAGTTTTTTAGGTCAGTGCAAGCCTGTGGCTGTACGTCACAGAATCTCTTTGATATTGTATTATAGTCTTAAAATAATAATGACAATAATGTAAAAATATAAAGAGTACTTTGTTCTGAATTGCAAGGTAACATTGAAAAAATAATGCAATCAGAAATGTCATAAACAAACCTAATCTTTTGTGTTACAGTGAGTCAGTTTCTTCACCAATCACTCAATTCCAGTGGCAGACTTCCAGTTTTGCATAACATTTTTCCCACAAATGATAAGTGCTTCAGTTCATTTTCCAGTGTCTGCTAGACTTTAAGATTCCAATGTATTCTTTGTACCACTAGTTGGAATCCCTGTCTTGAAAAGCCAAGTACGATCTTTAAAAACACCAATTCATATTTAATAACATATTTTATTTATGTTGGGTTCTATTTTTCCTAATAAGAAAACAACCAAGTTTTAAGTGCAATTTGCTGTTTCAGAGCATTTTAAGATTCCCTAGATTTGGAGCATTAGCAAGCTATTTTTAAGTTTAATATTTATTGAGTATAAATTGCTTTTTGCTTTTTTTCACTTTCATGAAAGAAGTTTGGTGAACTTGGTGGAAAAGTGGAACAAATGGTCAAAAAGCAACAGTTTTGATCTCACTACCAAAATAAATATTTTGTGGTCTTTCTGCTCTCTAGGATTGTGGGATGCAGCCATTTTTCAGTGTCCTACAAATTCACTCTCATCCCTTTTATTAGTGTTCTCACTGTGCTGTCATGTGGCCTGCAGTTTCTGCCAAGATGAGCTACCCTGAGATAGCAGGCACACAGGACACATACCAGCACAAGACATATTGCCCATCAAAGCCAAGTATAACATGGCACCTCTGTATCTATGTCAGATGACCAGATGTCTGTGAGCTTTTACAGATGGCTTGTAAACAGCTCTGTTTGCTCATTGTCAGTGTTTCCAATTTTAATTCTTAACCTTGTGTACCTGTATATTTCCAGGACATAACCCTCCTGCCTCATGTTCAATTTAAAATCCAGTTTCGGACAGATGGAGAACAGCATATGCAATATACTAGGTTAACCAGACGTGCGATACATTAGCCTTAAGAATCTGAATCTTTACACATGAAAAATAATTTAAAAATTAATGTATACATGATTAAATGGACGGTACATTTTGGTTCCAATGAGGGCTGAACACAATAAATGGAAACATACACAGGCTATCAGGTAACCAGTACAGGGATGGGATGGCAACTCAAAGTGTTCATGTTATAGCCTACATCTTACTTGTTTTTTGCAGTACTCACTAACTGATTTTGTTTTGTTTAAGTCCCCAGTCTGTCTGAGATGACAGGGAGCCAAAATACATAATAATTCTTCTTGTTCCTCAACTAAAGAATATAAAAAAGGATGATCCTCCAGAGCTGGATAAATTGGCCATGCTGGTGGAGCTGTCAACAGAATAGCAGGTGTGATATGACAAAACTGAGATGGTGACGCTGAGTTCCCAGATTGCTGCAATGACTAAGAACATTCAGATGACAGCTTTTCCGCAATTAGTCTCAAACTGGACTGGTCTCAGGCAATAATAGGCACAAAAAAAGATACACGGTACTGCAACCGCAAAGCTGTAAAGTAGGGAATGGAAGGTGGTTAAACAGAAAGATGACTCACACCAAAATAATATTCGCATAATGGGTTTGCCATAGGCAGAAGAAAGAAAAGTATCAGTGGAAAGATGACATAGAATATATGGAAATAACTGTTCTAGGGGCTAAGAAAAAGAACAGATATTTAGACAAAGCGTAGAGACTTCCTGGCTCCTCTTCTTTTTGTACTTTCCATATCTGGGACAACAAACACTTTTTCTCCAAAAATCATATCAGAATGATCCCCTTATTTTTTATGGAGTGTATACAGTATGCCTGCTAGTAGACAGGACCATATTAAAGCAAGTTCCTAATCCTCTGTGTATACTCTAA